GAAACAATTGTTGAACTATTTCCATTTCATAAAAATTAAAATCGTCATTATTATAAAATATTTATTTGATAGGATTAGTTGGGAAAATTATTTATTTGGATTGGTTAGGAAAATTATTTATATTTGGTAGGAATTTAATAAAATTAACATATGTGAACCACTATTTTGCCCTCATTGTAATTATATTATTACAATTGTGTCATCAGAAGTTTTCTTATAAATAGCAGCTTCGGTTATTATCCAAGATAATACATTCTCTTTATTCTCTCTTTTTCTCTCTAGTTTTATAACATGTTATCAATACGATTCTCTACCCTCTAGAGCTCGATTTGTAATATGACGAGAGTATGCTCTACAATTACGTCTTATAGACGATCTTCTATATTATAAATCAAATTATTACAAGTCGCTATTTTCCTGTGATCCTTACCAAAAACTCTCAAGCACGAGCACTTTACCACTTAAGCGAATGGCGGCATAATCAAGACGAAGGGCAATCAAAGTAACAAACAAAATTGATGTATGCCTTGTAAAAGAATCGTGTCTTTTCTGTCAAGGTAACATTCAAGATTTATTCAGTATCAATTATTATATATTAGTTATCAATTCTAATTATATTCCAATATCTACAAAAGTATGAATTGATGATTTTGTATGAGCTTGATTGTTGTGGTTGTGTTGCCAAGTATTTGTAAGTTAGTTTGAAAAATTTGTTACAAATCGATAATAACTCATTTCATTCTGAATTTTAGATATGTGATGCAACTTTGAATGTAGATGAGCCAGTAAAATTTTGAAGTTAAAATGATACGTGTGCTATTTGTTTTGAAGTTTTAAGTTCAATGTGTTTAGTGCTGAAAAATTCTATGAAATGCATTGTACTAATATTTAAAAATTTGTTGTAGATGATTACGATGAACTTTGGATATGATATTGACATCCATATTTTGTATTCTCAAAAAAATATTGGGTTAAAAAATTTATATATACAATTTGTTTGATATTTTCAAGTAAGCATGGGCAGTGCATAGAAGTGTTTGTGATCTGCAGCATATTCAATTTTAGAAAATTTTTGGGGACACATAAGATGTGATAGTTCTCTGATATTTTCATATAGCGTGATATTGTTTGGTTTTTCAGACACAGTAAATTTTTTAGATTTATTTGACATAAAAAATTATTTATATAAATTTCTAAATCTAGTATGTATATAAAAATCTGAAAGATGACAAATTAGGTGTTTTCGGTTATAAAATATGTTTTAGTTATATATTGCCTATTGAGCATATACGGACTTGAAATTTTTTGTACATAATCTTGGATGAGATGCATATACAGAAGTGAAATTTGATCATTATTGAACTATTATATGTTCGTTTAAATTATGGACTAAATGATGGACTATATAATCCACAAGATTACAGTTTCAGTGACATGATTTGGAAAAAAAAAAAATTGAAAATACCCACTTATTTTATGGTGAATGAGGAAAAATATTATACAATTATGTAATGAAATCTTTCATACTTCAATTATTATACTCCTAAAGATTTAAAAAAAGTACCTAAATATTTTATTATTTTGTCCATGCATCTGAATACACGTGAAGCATATGTGGATTAATTTTAACATGTGATTTGTGTATGTTGTTTGGAACATATATGGTGAAGCTATCAAAATATGAACTTACGACATGAATTTAGTTTGAAAATTATAAT